CCCCCCCCCCCTCCCCCTCCAATATTTTGTGTTCTCCACTATGTCCAAAGTACTCCAAACCATTGCACTCAAGTTATTTCACCTGTTCCCATACCAACGACCTATAGCAGACATTGGTTAAGTGTGATCATGTGATATCTCCTAAACATCTGGGTGGTATTCTAAATTCTAACCCACTTGCCTATTTAGGAAATAACAAGGGAATACATGTCACTTTGTCTTTAAATAATTTCCTATCATAATTTAGGTGATTGCTCATTAGTGTAAATTAGAATACCACCCAGATGTTAAGGGAACATCTGACCAGCAAAAAGTCAGAACACTTACCCGTTTAACAAAGAAACATTCTGTCTGGAAAGAAACAGTAGACTTGTCTTTTTGGTCGATATACCAACAATGGAACTTTGCTTGCAAACCCTCTCTGACAACATGAACATCACACGGTTTATTTCCCTTGCTGTATGGATTTAATGTGCCACCATAATACAATATCAAGCACATAAACTGCACCGCCTCACGCTCGCATTGTACAACACAAGTCAAACTTTGGCCACAAGAAGTTACTGTAATAACTTGGTATCTGATTTCATTCTAGTAAGTTCAAATGTTTATAAGATTAAACTTACCCTTACCCTTACCAAACTGACATATATGTAAAATGTCTGCAAGTATCTGTCATATATCTGTTGCAGTACTGCAGCATATCTGCAACAAGATCTACAATATCTGCAAAATATCTGCATAAAAGTTGCAGATATTTTGCAGATATGTTGATTATCTGTCAACATATCTGCAAAATATCTGCATAAAAGTTGCAGATATTTTGCAGATATGTTGATTATCTGTCAACATATCTGCAAAATATCTGCATAAAAGTTGCAGATATGTCAATTGTCTGTCAAAATATCTGCAAAATATCTGCATAAAAATTGCAGATATATGTAGATATGCCAATTGTCTGTCAATATACAGTATCTCAACTACACAGTAAAAAATAATTTCTTATTGAGAAAACAATTCTTACTGCAAGAAAATATTTGTTGAAGAACATTTTTTGAAATAAGAAAAATTCTCTTAACATATCTTAAATTACATTTGTTTTCTTGAAATATGAATGTTTTCTTACGATTTTGTCATCTTCATATCAAATCATTTTCTTAACAAAATTTTTAAAACAAGAAATCAAATTCTTAACATAAGAAATAATGGTTAATAATAAATTATTTCTTACTTATTTTCTCGAAGAACGAAAATAAATTTGTTAAAATTTAAATATAACATCTTTTGCAATTTTTGCATTTTTTTTCCAAAATGATATATTTTTCCTCAATATTCTTTTAA